TCTAAATAGCAACCGTATAAAAATGCTTCCATATTCTACATAATGGTCACCCTTTCTCTCTAGTCGACATGTGCCTCCATCAATTTTGTAATTTCCGTTACAATATGGTTTCCCAACCAAGAGCAATCAATGGTAACGATCCGTTTTCATGTTGTGGCCCTTGATCTACCACAATCCTCTCTATAGCCGCGATGAGCCCGCCCCTACCGCCCGCCGCCATCGTCCTTGGTTGTTGTATCCCTCTATCTAATTCATGTGTGCAACTGTGCCCCCCACCCCTTGCTTTGTTAACCCCTAGTACCGCAAAACGACGAAGGTGGAGCCTATTTGGGCCATGAGGCAGTCGTATCAGCGTGTAGTGGTCATGTAGATGTTTTGTTGTAGATTCAACCGTGTCGCCATGCCACTGTACCGTTCTCACATTTCATGACTGACCATAGAGTCACGGACCCGAGGGAACCATGTGTTCATGTTAGGTCATCACACGTCACTTACCCCATCATCTAAGAACTTCTTCTCCGGTCCCGCAGTTCTCTCCACTTACCCCATCATCTAAGAACTTCTTCTTTCTTCCTGCGGTTCTCTCCACTTACCCTATCATCTAAGAACTTCTTCTTTTGTCCCGTGGTTTTCTCCACTTACCCCATCATCTAAGATCTTCTTCTTTGGTCTCGCGGTTCTCTCCACTTACCCCATCATCTAAGAACTTCTTCTTCGGTCCCGCGGTTCTCTCCACTTACCCCATCATCTAAGAACTTCTTCTTCCGTCCCGCGGTTCTCTCCACTTACCCCATCATCTAAGAACTTCTTCTTCGATCCCGCGGTTCTCTCCACTTACCCCATCATCTAAGAACTTCTTCTTTCGTCCCGTGGTTCTCTCCACTTAACCCCATCATCTAAGAACTTCTTCTTACGTCCTGCGGTTCACTCCACTTACCTCACCATATAAGAACTTCTTCTTCTTGGATCCCGCGGTTTTCTCCACTTAAAGTGTCTCATAGGTAGGCAACACCCGCCTTCCAACAACCAACTTGACAAAAGGTACATGACTGCCAACTTTGCGATGAGGATGAGTTGGTTATTGTACCATGCATAGGTTGTTGCCTGCACATGAACAAGATGTGTGGCTGCACTTGATGATGGCGGTTTCTATCGCTGTTTCATGGCTTGCAAAGCCAGTGTGACAAATGCTTGGCTAGTGGTGCCGAATATGTGGGTTTATTTGGCTTGTGATGCCATCTTGACAAGTCATTGGCTAGTGGCATCGAACACGTGGTGTCTTATGTGACTATTCATAGCAAAGTGCATTTGTTATATTTAAAACTTTTTTGAATGTAGGAGGGGTTTGCAAACGTACTTGACAACTTCCCTCCAATTTATGTCAAATCTTACCATATCCATGAATCCATGACCAAGGTTGTGGTGTAGGTCATTTTCCATAAGAGGTAAACTTTATCTTTTATTTCAATGGATATTGTTTTTTGTCGTTATTCAGCTGGTTTGGCATGGTAAGTTCAAATTAGGTGTTAATATTGTTCATGTTTGGCGATAGATGAAATCCTCTTGAATGTGTATGGCTTTCTCACGAGGTTATTGGTGGCAGTGTTGTAGAGTCACCATACCTACTTGAACGTTTTATGACAATTTGCATGATATATCAAATTGGTATTTGAAGTGCTCATTATCCATTTGAATTTTGTATTATTAGCTCACAACAAACCATTTGTGGCATGTTTTACATTTTTAATAGCCGGGTCAAATTCAATCAAATTTCCATCTATACATCTATACATCTCTGCTGTGTCGCCACCAGTAGCATCAGCTTTGCAGGCAGAAGCTTATGGACTGTTGTTGGCGGTGAAGATTGCAGCTCAACTACATGTGCAGGATCCGAAGTTTTTGACAGACTCTGAAGTGCTTGCCTCAGCGGTTGTACAACCTGATATTACTAAAGCAGGTCCGTGGGCTATCCGGCCAATCTTAGCTGCTATCCAGACCACGCCTTCATTTCATCCATATAGAATACTCAAAGTGCACAGAAGTCTGAATTTCAAGGCACACCATCAGGCTAGACTTGCTGTCAAAGTGCAAGATAAACCTTTTAGCTCTACTTGCCTATATTCAGATCAAGGTTTAGGTACTAATTTGGAAGGATGTCCTACCTGTAATGAGCTATCAGCAATGAGTGCTCAGCCACTCGAGCTGCTATTTGTAAAGTGTGCTTAACGCCATACTAATGAAATCCTTCTGTTCAAAAAAAAAATTCAATCAAATTTTATGACCGGATACACCAAGACATTCATACATGCATTTGGAACACAAACTAGATTCAAAATCATAGAACAAAATGATTGATGTACTGTTGTTCACTACTTTTGTCCATTTTTAGCATATAAGAAAGAGATGACATCTTTTTCTTCTTGTTCTTAGCGGAGTGTTTTCCTAGCAAAAAGGATAATTTCTTTGTGACCATCTGCAATGGCAAAAGGTTCGTCGACAAAAGCATCAGGAGCAGTTGATGCTTATATCCAACAAAAGAGCTTTCCATGACACCGAAGGCCGCTCCTATCGCTGGGCATCCCTTCCACGACGCGGATCTAATAGTGAAGCCTCATGGCCTTCGAGGTTTTATTTGAATGCTGATAAGAGGCGAAGGGACGAAGAACACCCGTCTTTGCTGCACATATCTCGTGAGGTGAGGAGCTTAGTGCGCCATCATCCCCTGAACTTTACTCTTTCGCATATGGCCATCATTCCATCAGCAACACAAGGCCTGAATTATTGCACACAGAGCACATGCACCCATAGCAGATTCAGAGACACCAAGAACAGTACATTACTAAGGCGTACCACAAAAATTCCTCGACGAACAATTTATCATAACCCTGCCCTATGATCCAAGACGTGAAAAGATTCTTGGCACGCAGGTGAGTTATTATCAACCTGCTGTAAACAGATTTGTAGTTCAAAAAAGTATCATCAGTTCAGTTACCACATCCCACCATGGAGATTCGATTACATGTTCAACATGGAGCACCCATGATGAATAGCGTTGTAACCCCCCCTGTAGTACCGTCGAATGTTGCTGAAATGCTGCCCGCTTAGAGATGCCCTTACTGACCCCTGCACAAAGCAAACACTCTTCGGTAAACAGATAGAAAAAAAAATGTGATTCATACAACAAAATTTACACGTAATGCTGATTTCTGCCTGAAGGCTTTCATGGAGCATAGTGCTACAATGTTTACTCAACAAATTTAAGTACTATATAATACTGAAGTAGGCTCCATGACTATGTACTTTAGACTAGAGGCCCCATTAAAAGCTCTTGCAGACATAGTTTGCGCAAAGTGCAAACAGTATCACAAAAACAGTATACATTAAGTACCTCCCACAAAAATGAAATGAGTTCTCACTCTGATGTGATGTGCTAATCACATAAATGGTATGCCTTGTAAGAAATTAGTCTGCTCAACATACTCGACTTTCTATATCAGTAAATGCTAGCGGTTTGCCCATTACTCCTCATGCCCAATGCAGTATTACGTATCTGACGGAAATACCAAGGTACATAGATATGGAGCCACAGCACGGTGCCCCCAATCTGAGGCAGTACAGACCTAACAACATATATACAACATCGCAGTATAATGATTGCATTTGTGTGGTCATATTGTCATCTATGGGTTTGAAAATGAATTATTTGCCTCTGTTCTCTAATTATCTCAAGCATGTGATCAGTGCAGTAACATGTGTCATAAACTTTTCCATGATGATGCATCAAATATAAATAACCAATAACCACAATAATGTGATTACAGATGTGGAAGCTCTAGAAACCATGCAATAACCCAACCGTAATCAAACAGATAATGTCATTGTATCATACTTGTCCTGTGTATTACTGTCAGTGTGTGACCTATATTTGAACCTTTACCGTTTCCATTTGGGATTCTCCGCTGATTTATTTCATCCAGTAACTCGACATATATATGATGCACTAGCTATATCCTCTAACTGATCACAGTTACAACCTCAAGGCAATCCTAGGAGTAGCAATTTAAATGGTACCATCCATGACCCAACTGCTTGATCAGGAAGCAACGTAGTTGCAAGGCAAAGGTGCAGTTGATTGCGGGAATTGGTTTTGAAAAGTACTCCCTCCGTCCCATAATACAAGACGCTATTACATCCAATATACTTAAATTAACCTCCTTGGTGCCAAAATAGGACAGTGCAGTGTTAGATTTGTTTTTCCAATTTTACCAGGATATTAGTATTACTTTGTTTAGCATGTATTCTCTGAAATGATAGTAAATGAGAAATGGCAGCCCAGCAGAATTTAGATTATACATGTCTCATACAACTCATAAGTAGATGTTGTGCACTATGAGATTCAGTGTGCTGATGCTGTCATAAGGAAACAGGACAGTTCATACTGGTTCGTATGTGCGTCCTTGACAGTCGATATGGTTCACCACTCATTACTTCATTAGCATATACTATCACATTCTACATTTGCATTGCACCTCATGACCGGACGAATTCTATAGAGTTGATCTAACACTTTCAGTTAAATATCAGAGGTTTATGCCGTATGCTCAACACTGATGCAAACAAACAAAGGGGACTTACAAATTAAGCCAACATTCAAGTACCAGGTAATGTTGAAGTTATAAACGAAGCCAGCATTCAAGGGTTAAAACGATCTTTTATTGATTAAAGTGATCAAACCCGTATTCCCTTTACTAGATTATTATTATAAGTTTGTGGATCATGGACTTCCATTTTTCTCCGTTTCTGATACGCATCACATCGGTGACCGGATTACCCGATACAGCATGACCATCTCTGGATATCTAATCTGAGGCCAACCTAATTCACTCTATCACAAAATCTTCCCCATGTTCATTTGACCAACAGCCCGTAGTTCTAAAGTAATAAGCACATATTTGTCGCCCCTACCGAGGCACAGTATAGTAATATAATCCATCTGCATCTCAGGTTCTCACAGTCCTGTAATCAACCACCCAAGCATTTCATCAAGCACCTGCCATGCGGAACCAAACCCACAAGGCCTTGTATACAACCAAAACCGCAACCGGCATTTCGTCGAGCACCTGGAGAGCACACGAATGCTGTACTGTACTAGCGAAGGGGGGGAGTGGCGCTGACCTGATCTTCTTGATGAGGATGTCGCGGAGGCTCTTGCCGAGCTCCTGGGAGCGGACGCGCGCCATGAGCGCCTTGCGCGCGAGCACGCGCTTCTCCGAGTTCTTGACGTGGTGCTCCGTCCGGCGCTTGATGAGCCGCTCGATGCCGCTGGACCGCATCTTGCGCTCCATCACCTGCAGCGCGCGCTCCAGGTTGCCGTCCCTCACCTGCACCACGATCCCCCGCGCCGCCTGCGTCTGCGCCTGCGCCTGCCCCCTCCCCGCCGCCGCCGCCGGCCACAGCACCCGCGCCGCTCGCGCCAGTGCCTGCATCGCGCCGCCGCTGCCTGAATGAAGCGTTGAGATTCGGGACGCCTCGCTCTCGGCCGGTCTCGGCCGTCTGTTTCGTTTCGTCCGACGTTTTTGTTTCACTTGGACCCCTGCGCTCCTCTGAATTCACATTTCTGGCCTGTAGGGCGAAAGGTCAGTGCCTTATGTTCAATATTTCTGGAGAAACAGTTCAAGTTCTGGAATCACTCCCATCCGTAACATTTTAGTTCATAAGTGCAGCGCGGTAGGTCTTAAATTCAAATCGAGGGTTTCTGGCATCTGAAGTAATTTTTTTGCAATTGCATAAGTCATTTCGTTTTCCCAGTTTCTTCGGGTATTATTCCGAGTTGATTGAACTGAATAAAATGCATTGCCTAAGCAAGTAGTCAGACTATTCAGCTTCAAGTGTATAAAGGAATAAGTACATTTACCTGATAGTGTGCGTAATGTGCCTGAAAATTCTATCTTCTGAAGAAGCAAGTTGCACCCTGTGCACATGCCCAACTGTTTACTGCATGGAAGAAAAAGAAAGGTAGCATCCAAAAGATAAGATGACTGCCCGATACAAGCTTCCTAGAGTAAAATTGTCATTTCCTGCTTGTGGTATTGTTATCAAGTTCTGCAAGTCTCAAATGATAAGACAGCTTCATCAGCTTTTGTGACCACCCACGCGGATTTAGTTCAACTTCCAGTTATGGTTTCTTGAGGAGAACATTCCTTGTTTGTTTTCGTGTGTACAACAGCTCTTGCTTACTCATTGTGATCTCAACTCTCAAGGGGTTTCCAAATACTGATTTACTGGCAGCCCGACGGGAGCAGAGCACCGCCGCCACCTGCCCCATCCACGGTAAGACATCCTGTCTCCCCAGTAGCATACATACAGGGGAGGGGCGATCCTTTTCCGTCGATTGCGAGATACCAGTTCTTGGGTATTCTTTTGTGTGTGCGTGCGATGATTTGGTCATGAGGTTTGGTTTCCATTCCAAGTTGTCGAATCACTCCCATCCTTGAACATTTTCGCTCTCAAGTGCAGCCAGTAAAGGTCTTATTAAACATTGTGGCGCACTAAGTTTTGTTAACATTGCAGAAGTCAAATGCACAAATGCTAGTTTGTGCTTTCACTGCTCGTTGTGCATCTGAAAGTTATACCTCATTTCCCTGTTTTCTTTGATTAAACTGAATTGATTGAACTGAATAGGATGCATTGACTAGCAAATACTGCGATTATTCAGCTTTAATAAGTATATAATGGATTGCATTTACCCGATTGTGAGCGTAATGTGCCTAAAAATTTCATCCTTTGAAGAAGCAAGTTGCATCCTGTCCTGTGCATATGCTCAACTGATTTTACCCTCTGAAGAAGCAAGTTGCATCCTGTCTTGTGCACACGCCCAACTGTTTACGGTCTGGAAGAAAAGAAAGGTAGCATCCAAAAGATAAGATGCCTGCCTGATACAATCTTCCTAGAGTAAAATTGTCATTTCCTGCTTGTGGTATTGCAAGCAAGTTCTGCGAGTCTCAAATGATAAGACAGCTTCATCAGCTTTTGTGACCACACAGGTGGATTTGGTTTACTTCTAGTTATGGTTTCTTGAGGAGAATATTCCTTGTTTGTTTCCTTGCGTACAACAGTTCTTGCTTACTCATTGTGATCTCAAGGGGTTTCCCAGTTCAGTCTGGAATCCAGCCCTGGATATGGCAGTGCAATATGTCTTGGCTTTGATTGAGGGCCTTTTGGATATATTGGTGCGAGTTTTTTGTGTCTTTCTTGAATTCTTGTGGAAGCAAAATACTTCTTGACTAAAGCAATTTCCAGTACTTTGGCCACCTTATGAAATCTCCCTGAAGTAACATGGGAGATTTGATGATAACCCCCCCTGGTTGGTTGACTTCTATCATAAGCCTTATACGCCACGGAAGAAAAGAATGGTGACATTCAAAGGACAACATGCCTACCTGATATACTCTTTCCAAAATAAAATTTTCATTTCCTGCTGGTAGAAAATACTAGTCACATGCTAGTTCTGAGAAGGCAGGTCAGTTCTTTAGTCCTATTAAAGGACCTGCATAGTCATTGTAGCATATAGTAAGCTTGTACCAGGATGTAAGAGAGATGTAGCACATGTTGCTAAATAATAAGGGCATTTGCTGCCCAGCCAAACTATTCTGTTTCTCCCCTGTTTTCTCCTCTATTCTCTCTGCTCTGTTTATCCACGTAGAAAGAGCTGAGAGATTGAGAGAGGGCTGCGTGCAACATTTGTTGAGGGATTGTGGCCAACAGCCATTGCCTCCCGTTTTCTGATTATCTCAAACGTATGATCAGTCCGGTAACATGTATCATAAGATTTTCCATGATGATGCATCAGATATAAATATCCAATAACCACGATAACGTGGTAAATGGTGAGATTATTCAGCTTTAGGTATATAAAGGAATATATTTACCTGATAGTGTGCAGAATGTGCCTGAAAGTTTTATCCTTTGAAGAAGCAAGTTGCACTCCATGCACGTGCCCAACTGTTTACTGTATGAATGAAAAGAAAGGTAGCATCCAAAAGATAAAATGGCTACCCGATACAATCTTCCTAGAGTAAAATTGTCATTTCCTGCTTGTGGTATTGTTAACAAGTTCTGCAAGTCTCAAATGATAAGACAGCTTCATCGTGTTTGTGACCACATAAGTGGATTTAGTTCAACTTTCAGTTGTGGTTTCTTGAGGAGAACATTCCTTGTTTGTTTTCTTTTATAGAATCGTTCTTGCTTACTCATTGTGATTTCAAGGGGCTTCCCAGTTCAATCTGGAATTCAGCCCTGGATATGGCACTGCAATATGTCTTAGATGATATGTGCTTTCACTGCTTATTTGTGGATCTGAAAGTTACTTCACTTCCCCATTTTCTTTGATTAAGAGGCGTTGGTTGAACTGAATAGAATTCATCGACTAGCAAATAGTGAGATCATTTAGCTTTAACTATATAAAGGAATACTTTTACCTGATAGTGTGTGGAATGTGCCTGAACATTTTATCCTTTGAAGAAGCAAGCTGCATCCTGTACACATGCCCAGCCGTTTATGGTATGGAAGAAAAGAAAGGTAGCATCCAAAAGATAAGATGCCTACCCGATACGGTATTCCTAGAGTAAAATTATAATTTCCTGCTTGTGGTATTGTAAGCAGGTTCTGCAAGTCTCAAATGATAAGGCAGCTGATCCGTGTCTGTGGCAACATAAGTGGATTTAGTTCAACTTGCAGTTATGGTTTCTTGAGGAGAACATTCGTTGTTTATTTTCTTGCATAGAACATTTCTTGCCTACTCACTGTGATCTCAAGGGTTTTCCTAGTTCAATCTGGAATTTAGCCCTGGGCATATATAGCAGTGCAATATGTCCTAGCTTTGCCTTTTGGTATTGAATATCCTAGCGGAAGTTTTGTATCTTCATTGATTTCTGTAGAAGCAAAATACTTCTTGATTAAAGCAATTTCCAACAGTGGCTACACCCAACTTTATTTGCTGCGGAAGAAGAGAATGGTGGCATTCAAAGGACAACATGTCTACCTGATACAATCTTCCTAAAGTAAAATTTTCATTTCCTGCTTGTGGTATCGTTAGGAAGTTCTGCAAGTCTCAAATGAGAAAACATCCATGCTGGATTTGCTTTGATGTTCCTTCCAAAGATGTTTTTCCTGATTAATAACTCCTTTATGTCCATATTTAGTAATATCGTTTTCAGATTTTCTCCTCAGAGTTCAGTCCTTGGAGTATGTCAACTTGTTTAAATGGTTCTGCGGCTAGTCTTGAATAAAAGCTTTAGGGAAAAAAGGCTGAGAGTGGGACACTGGGACCAACCAACTAGTCTCTTATGGACTCTTTAACAATGTTATGCTGTGTCTGTATACTATGTATGTGCTGACTAAAAATTCTTATGGACACTGGGACACAGTAACTTTCATGCTGCATACTAAAAATTCTTCAGTTTCAGCAATACGTTTTGAATTGATCACTATTTACTGGATCACTTTGTCACGTTCTCAACTGTTGAAATTGTCACTGCAAGAATGATGAACTATGATGATCTAAACTATAAACATGCTTTCCTTCGATTCAACTGACGATAAGCATCAAACTTGGATGCCCTTTGTATGATACATTATAAATTTGTATGCAATCCTGGAGTTAGAATCTGAAACATATACCACTTTTTTTGTTGTGTACTAACAATAACCATTTCCGCAGTTTTCTGAAACATTGGATGTATTTTTTGGCTAACTCTCTTTTCCTATTTCCTGGCTTATGCGGATCAGCTTAACTAGCCGACATGGTTATCCCTGCACCAGCTAGGGCGCCTGCGATCACCAAGTTCCTCAAGCCCTATGTTCTGAAGATGCACTTCACAAACAACTTTGTGACGACTGTTATGGCGCTGCTAGAAGGAGGGCGCGAGAGGGCCGGCCGGGGGCCTTTCTGCCCACAGCCGGGCAAGAGAGAATGGATTTCCTTCTTAATTCTTGCTTGATTAGATTGATACATCTCCTCTCTTTATATAGAGAGGTTTACTTGACTCCCAAGTAAGGCTTACTTGACCCCTAAGCAAGCGACCCTTATCTCTAATTAACCCTAAGACTAACGGGCCCATTAGCCCCCTTACATACTCTAACACTACACCCCACCTGGACATGCAGCTTGTCCTCGAGCTGCGGCCTAACCAACTTATAACCATGACTCGACGCAACACAAACCTAACACCTAAAAACAAGCCTTTTACATCTCGGCTTGTTTTATTACTCTCAACCTGAAATGGACTGGGACGCTTTATTTTGGACCCTCAACAAAAAGGGGACACCATCTGCACGTCGGACGTGCATGTGTACAGCCACCTGGATCCCATGGACACCACCTGAACCAAAGGAGTGCATGTGTATGGCCACCTGGAAGTGGTCGCAAGAGCGACCAGCAGAGGCGTCCTCACGGTGGCCGGCGGCGGAAAGCAGTGGTGCTACGCGG